TTTCCTGGAAATTAGGTTTATCCTTCAGACTTACAGTAATTCAGCTTTCAGGTGAACAAATTCCACAAAGCCCCCTGCATATAATCCTTGCATTAGGGAAAGTCAAATTCAGGATTTTAAACTGACAATGGTGTACAGCAGATTAAAGCAAACACACTTATTTCTGAATTTATGAACTTCATCCACAGCACAAACAAAAGAAATCCTTTAAGTAGTTTCAAAAGGCTGGACTTCAGTAACTTGAACCAAGTTATTATCAGACACATCCCTGAATTTAGGACAATTTCTGCCCACAAATCAGGTTTGTGAACCTGACACAGTAGGAGTTGTTATGTAACACAAATTCACTAGACTATATAAGTTATTGATTTATTGTAAAATAATGTTAAATAAACACTTATTTTGCAATGAATTCACACACCTTTATCTTAACAAGACCTTGGGAAAGAGAAAAAGGAAGATCCCAGCTCTACCTATGGACATCCAAAAGGATTCATTCTCCTATGTGCAAGACAGCTCCCCAAAAAAGACAGTGAAACTGCTCCATAATTAATTGCTTCAAACTGCTGACAGTTTTCAGCACAGTAATGGGGACCAACAGTAGTACTAGTAGTAATGACTTTGCCAGATGAGTGGATTAGAGATGCTTATTAATAGGTATATTGTATCATACGCAGTTTCATCACTTGAGGATTTTAGGGAGAACTTACTGAACTTAAGTTTTCTAATATAAAGTATATTAAAAACAAACAAAAACCAAACCCAGTAAGAGTAGCATTTGCTTACCATGAAATGAGGTTGTGTTAAAATACGCTTTAGCTCCTTTGCATCATTGTTCTCTGGGTAACATGAAATTTCTTCCAATACCTGCCAAATAAGCAAGATAAATGCCCATAGTAACTTTCTTTTAAATAAAGCTATTAATGAAACAAATGAAAACTCTCACTGGTTAGTCAGAATATTTGCAAATGATTATACAAAAGACTATTTTGACAGGAAGGGGCTTAGGAGATGTGCCCCCCTACCCCAAGACAATAAAATACCTCATTTCAATTTTCTTTCTGAGAGAGATTAAAGCAGAGATTTGAAGGAAACTGTTGCTCTTTTTTCAATTGACAGTACTCCTCTAACAGCTAAATATATGGAGATATAAATGAAGTGCTAATTTATAGGTGACACATATCACCACCACCAATTGCTACTTTCACACATGGTCTCAATTTATTAAAACAATCAGTTTAAAAGTAGAATTAAAAATACTCATAAAACCTTCTCTCCACAAATTAAATTGTTAAAGACACCATGTGTAGGTGGTCCATCTGCTACCCCACCTCCAAGCTCCATATTTTATAAAATCTGAGCCATAGTTCAGCTTATCACTGGGGGAAGGAGGAGGGAGTAAATAAGCTTTAACTCATTGGCCTGCAACCTGATACTTGCACCTTTATTTTCACATACAACTACTTAAGACAACAAAAGCAGAGATCTTTGCTTCTGGAAGCACCTCCCAGGATTAACTGCCAGAACATTTTGCAGAATAGGATTTCAGGGTGTCTATTAGTGTGACTTCAGTTATTACATAGTGTTTTGAAGTCTTCCTGATCATACTATTTTAATAGCACTATGAACGGTGTTTTCCTATGACACTACTCTCAACAACTGTACTTATTTTTACTGATAATATATAATACAACTTTTTTTTTCTACTTCCAATAAATAAACAAATAAAACATTTATTTTTCAGGCATAAGAATTAAGAACATCTGTGTCTATTTACCTTTGGTCTTAACGGGCAACCTTCGTTGCATTTCTACGTCTGCTCTTCTTAGAACTATCTGATAAACTTGATTTTTCAATTCAAAAAGCTCATATCTAGAAATATATCTTTTTTTGTGACTAAGTCATATAAACATCAAACCTCTGCTGCAGATAAACAAACTGAACATGAAAGATACTGCATTTACCCAACAGGAGTATTCCTTTTAATACCGCTATTGTTGCGGCAAAGGTTAAATGATGAAAATGAGTAATATATATAATCCTTACAGACGTAAGGTAATTCTGCAAGTTTATGCAACTTGTTATGTAACTTAAGTAAGCAACAGCAAAATTAAAAAAAAAAATCAGATTATGAGGCAGAATAAATATCAGCATCTTAATGAAGAAAAAAATGTTCCACTTTAAATACAATCAAACTTTCAAAGTAAAAAATATATTTTAAAGCCGTTACCTCTTTGGCTCTCTGTACAGCATCACTTGGAGGATTCCTGATTTGTGGTGAAGATTTTGTGTTTATTTTGTCATAAAGCTGAAATAACAAGAAAACAAACTACTGAAATAGCATGCTACTTTATACAAAGTAATGATGAGTGCTAACAATAGCCTGCTTATGTTACCATGATTAAAATCATTGTTAAACTGCAAGACCCACAGATGTTTTGTATACAAAATCTAGCAGCTTAGGGTTTTGGCTTTTCATTTTTAAACATTTCCTGATTTGAGCATTGCCATAGATTCAGAGTTCATTGGATGACATGGGAAAGTTCAAGAGGTTAAGGGATTCTGCAAACCTTCTATGCTTTTTCCACAGATTTACAGAAACTATATTCTTCTACTAGAAGAGATCCTATGAATCTTGAATCAATGATGTAATTATACATTCTGCTATAAAATCAGATTAATCTGCATATCCCACTTTTCTCAATAAACCATCAAACATTCCAAACAGTAATTTAAATAAATCTCAGAATATGGGAAAATATTCTTGAAGATAGAACGCTATGAAAGCTGAAGTCTTCGGAGAAGAGAAAAACAAACTTTTCCAAGAAAGAGTGCTGAAAAAAAGAGTACCATTATTTTACAAGGATTTTCTATTGGACAGAAGAATCCCAATGTATTTATATTGGAAATTGTAAACCTTCCAGGTTAATATAAAAAAAAACCAACAGCTTTTAAAAACCCCTCAACTACGCAAAATGCAATAGGAGAAAGACCTATCTTCAGTTTCAAATTACAGAGAGACATTACGGGCTCTCCTTCACAGAAACCTAACAGATTGTGCATGTTTTAAAGGAATAAATGTATACTTAAGAATAAAAAGGCACTGTAACAAGTACTATTTTCAAATAAAAAACTTTTGGCTTACATTTCAAACAATATTAAGATGGTCATGCTTGTAATTAGTTCCTATTTATGTTAGACTACTTCTTTGAAATGCAAGACAGAAAAAAGATACAAATAACTACTTTCAGGATATTAGTGAAATTTGTTATCACAGTGAGGGTGGTGAAACACTGCAACAAGTTGCCCAGGAAAGGTGTGGAATCTCTCAAATTTGGAAATACTTAAAATTCAACTGAAATTCAAAATAGTGTATGTAGACAAACATTCAGAATACACAAGGGACTCTAACACCTCCAGCAAATCCTAACACTGTAAAGGATGAGTTGACAAGAACTCCCCATTTAGGCTGATCAGCAAGATGCTCTCAGGAGCTTCCTCTGAGAAGCTTACAGCTCCATTGTTTGGCTGAGGATGGCCTTATATGTTTCAACAGGGAGTCTTGTCAAGCTACAGAAGTTCCCTCTTCTCTTTCTCCCATGAAATACCACTCAGTTTTTGAAGAGAAGTAAACTGCAATAAGCAATAAATGCAATCCAAAATCATCATTGTTTTCCTTGTGTTCCTTAACAATCTAATGCACGTTGAACATTTCAAGTCCATACGCAAATAAATACAAAAAGAGAAAACAATGTCACTCCAAAAACATTGCCTGCAGGACAGTTATACAACCATCTTGGGGAAAAAAAAGTAGAAAAGTCAAGCTAAATCAGTTTCTTCCACATCCAACAACGTCACCTTGTGCTGCCAAAACACTGCTATACTCAACAATTTAAGCTGCCTGGACCAGTGTTGAAGTTTTTAAAGTAAAAGCTTTCTGCTAGCTTATAGTTCAGGACATAATTTAGTTGCATACACAATTATTTGTTTTTACCTTGTCTTAAATAAGTAAACAAAACCCACCCAAACTCCAGCAACTCCAAATTGTTAAGTATCACATTTAAACACCTGTTAAGAAACTGTATCAAGCATTGTGTACTGAGTAAAGCGCTGTTGAAAATGCACAATATCCAACATGACTATTGAATGTATTTATCTAGAAGAGTTACACAGCCTGTTTAAGGTTAATGAAATTTCAGAAAAGTTAGCATGAATGTATTTTTATTAGTTATTTCTAGCAATTGTTTAAAAGTTAAGTCACTGAAGTTGCTGACTTCACTCAAGTCACGATGTTATTGTGATCCAAAACAACCTGCAGTTTACAGCAACAATATTTTGTTACTATGATGGGAGAGGATAAGTTATCTTCTGAGACTAGGAGGCAAAAGCAAAGTAGGAAGCAAAGTGCCTCCACGAATGTTTAGAAAAAAATCAAGGCAAAGTACAGACTAAACAAGGGTGCATTTATTTTTCCATAGTGCCTTCATGCTGAGGCATGGCACTTAAATTTCATCTTCCAGGACTGCTACTTACTGAGATTTGCTTCCAAGGCACCGAACCACTCGCAGGGTCTCTGGCAGTACTTAAAAGAAAAACCTTCATATTTGCATTAAGGCTTAAAGCCTATATATTACCCAAGCTGCAGGATCCACTCATTGTTTCTGAGGTAGAAGACAGCCTCAACTAGAGAAAGGATGTGTTTTCGGTAGCTTCACTAGCATGAGCAGATCTCTCCTAGAGAATCTTCTTGGGTACTCTACCTCCAAAGGTCATTACAGTGGAAGGCACTCATGCCAGGGTCTAATGGAAACACTATGCAAACAGCCTACACTGCATTACATTTTTACCATGAATATAACGTGGTTTCGCAATTGATTTACTCTCTCGGGCATTTTGAAAAAAATCAGTAACAGACATTTTTGACATAGTATACTCTACTTCAAGTTAGTTCATGGAGTTTTTAGCTTACATAACTAAAATTACTTCTCCTTGCCACGTTCCATAAACAACAGATTAAGCTTTAAAATTTCAGTGTAAATAATTTATTTTGCAATTTGTTGGAAAACAGTATCGATATCAATAAAACTGGTGAATTTATGAATTATCTTAGAGGAAGCCAATAGCAGAAGTGAAAGATTTATTTTTGTATGTGATGTTCTCAACGATCAAAGATGATTTCCACATTAGAAAATCCTAATGACGTAAAGAAAAACATAGCTTGTCAATTCCTGTGCAATAGTTTTTTAAGCACACTGTAGATGTTCAGCTAGTTGTAACTATCTCTGTGCTCTGAATTACTTTTAAAACATTTCAAAAATTTTTACAGATGGGCCACAAATTCTTAGGTTTTAATTGTGGTTCTTGAAATGACAGTGAACACTGTCTTGACCCAAAACTGTTTTTAATCCTTTTTTAATAACAAAACAGCTGTACTTATTACTGATATTTGATGTTAGCAACAGAAACAACAACAACAACTAGTATTGTTACCAAACTGTCTCAGTGTCTATTTTCACATCTCATCTGGAAACAACCTTTTGTTCAGGCCACACAATTTGTCTCTAGTATAATGCATTATCACACTAAATTACTTTGGAGAGTAGAGGCACAAATTACAATATACAAGACAAATGCAATTACTACACACTGAAGACAGTAAATTGACAAGACTGTTTTCAAATCTATAAATACATACACAGCAACACCCCATGAACCATTTATTGTGTTCTAGTTTATGTCATTGTGTATTTCTAATGCATCCTTAGGAGAAATTAAAATAATATGTACAAGATTGTATCAGAAGTACTATTTCTACATGAACTGTTTATGTAGTCAAAGCAAAAATAAGAACGTACAACCAAGATATGTATCTTTAAAAACATATGAAGTAATAGTAGTAATAAGTAAACCCAGAAACAAAGGAAGTATTAGTACTTCTTAGTACTTGCTTTGTATTTTAATTTTTTCAATATATTACTTCAACAATGCTTTCACAGAATTTTTTTGGATATTAAAAAAAAAAGTTCAGTTCTAAACTGTCTCTTGTTTGGTATGTACTCGTATAAACAGAAGGACAAACCCGGGATATTATTTTGTTTCTCTCATTTCCAATTTTAGTAATTCTATGTTCAGTCTGGACAGACTTTTTTAGCATTACGCTATTAAGCCTATTTCAAAAACCACACTAATTCTAACAACACAATTAGACCTTCCTGGTTACAGAAGACTATTAGAAGCTTTCTGCCAGAACATAGTAGAAGCTGGAAAGAAGAATAAAGCTTATACTAAGCATTAATGCACCAGAACTGGTGAAGCAGTCCTACCTTTGCAATCTCTTCGTCTCTGAAAGCATCTGAATTTAGAGGTTCCATTTAGACACATTAAGAAGAACATTTGTTCCCTTGGACATAAGAATCCAACACACCTTTACATGAACGTTTTACAAAACATTTAAGAAAACTGAATGAAACCTGTCTGCACACATCATAAGTTAGAGTAAACCTTAATGACAATTACAGCCAGGCTTTACATATTCCTGTGGTACAGAACACATTACTAGGTGCAGTTAGCTACATTATTTTAATCACAGAAAGCCAGTCTGTTTACAATGCTGTTGTCTTTCAGCAGCCCTGCAACCCTAAGTCCTACAGGCACCATACCAAAGGTAGTCTCTTGTGGAACAGAATGACCTGGTTCACTCTCCACTGTCCTCAACAGAATGCTCTTCTATGTAATACCAACAAACTTTCAGCAGGGAAAAGTCTGTATGTGCCCTAATGATGGGATCTTTTTGCTGGGACGCTCTATTTTCAGCTAAATAACTGCCCCCTCAACTCCAGTAGCCCAACCTCCCACAATTTCACTCAGGGATAAGCATAAAAATAGCAATTAAAAATTTCTAATAATTTCTAAATATTTCTAATAATGGTTGTAAAATGCCATAGCAATTGTAACCGTTGGAATTTCCAGACTTTTGAGTACTTTGTATCTCAGTCTCACTCCTTAGCACCCATTCTGCATTTGCTACACAGAAAATCAAAATTAAGAGCTTGCCCTAGAAAAACTTAACAATCACAACTGATATATTAACAAAATTTGATATAACAAACATAAATTGACATTATAGCTAATTAACAGAATAGTACTGCTTCTTAAAAAGACAAGTTTTGCTTTAAATTTTGCATGCTAGAACACAAATGCTATGAAAAGAATACCCACAACAAGTCGTGTCACTATCAGTTGACCAGCTTTCATAGGAGTCGAGACTTTTTGTCTTCTGCCTGTATAAAGAGAACTCGTTTCTTCTGA